TTTTCCAAAATTTCCCAAATTTGGCTTTTCTTCACATGTCAAAGACAGCCACGTTGAAGTAGTGTTGAAATTGTTTTAATAAAATATAGAAACGGGAGCTTACATCCATGAATGCATCCATCCATCCATCCATCCATCCATCCATCCACCTATCTATCCATCCACCCATCCACCCATCCACCCATCCATCCATCCATCCATCCTCCCATCCATCCACCTATCTATCCATCCACCCATCTACCTGTCTCCATCCATCTATCTACCTATCCACCCACCCATCTACCTATCTATCCATCCATCCACCCATCCATTCACCTACCTACTTACCTACTCATCCATCCTCCTATCCACCCGTGCCTCCATCCACCCCCTCACTGTATATCCTCCCACTCATCCATCTGTCCATCCACCCAGCTATCCACCTAACCATCCACCTACTCATTAATCTATCCACTCACCCACCCATGCATCCATGCATCCATCCACCCATCCATCCACCCATCCACCTCTTTATCCATCCATCCATCCATCCATCCATCCATCCATCCATTCATCCATCCATCCACCTATCTGCCTATCCATCCATCCCTCCATCCATCCACCTATCTAGCCATCTATCCATCCACCTACTTATCCATCTACTCATCTACCTGTCTCCATCCATCTACCTATCCACCCACCCATCTACCTATCTGTCCATCCATCCATCCATTCACCTACCTACTTACTCACCTACTCATCCATCCTCCTATCCACCCGTACCTCCATCCATCCCCTCACTGTACATCCTCCCACTCATCCATCTAACTACCCGTCCATCCACCCAGCTATCCACCCAACCATCCACCTACTCATTAATCTATCTACTCACCCACTCATGTATCCATCCATCCGTTCATCCATCCATCCACCCATCTGTCTATCCATCCATCCATCCACCTATCTATCCATCTATCCATTCATTCATGCATCTGTCCATCCATTCATTCATCCATCCACCCATCTATCCATCCATCCATCCACCTATCTATCCATCTATCCATCCATGTATTCATCCATCCATCCATTCATCCATCCATCCACCCATCCATCCACCTATCTATCCATCCATCCATACATCCATCCGCCTGTCCATCCATCCATCCACCTAGCTATCTATTAATCCACCTATCTATCCATCCATCCACCTGTTCATCCATCTATCCATCCACCTATCTGCCTGTCCATCCATCCATTCATCTATCCATTGTATCCACCCACCCATCTACCTGTCTATCCATTCATCATCTATCCATCCACCTATCTGTCTATCCACCTATCCATCCATCCACCTATCTATCCATCCACCTACCTGCTTACTCATGTACTCATGCATCCACCTATCCACCCGTACCTCCATCCAACCCCTCACTGTACATCCTCCCACTCATCCACCTAAGTACCTGTCAATCCACCCCACTATCCACCCAACCATCCACTTATTAATCTATCCACTCAGCCACCCATGCATCCATCCATGCATTCATCCATCCACCCACCCATCTATCCATCCATCCACCCAGCCACCCACCCATCCATCCACTTACCTGCCAGTCCACCCACCCTCCCAGATCTCATTCTGTGGGATTCCATGAGATTTTGTTTAATGCATAATGGTGCGTCTTTCTGGGTTGTCTGGTGTTTCTACTATATTTTGGTTTGTAATGGCAGGAAAATTGTCAACTAAAAAGGGAGAATTTTGTTCCCCATGTTCTTTTCAGTACACGTTCAAAATTGTTATTCGTCTATTTCAGAGGCGCTGCCTTTCCGGAATACTACTCACACCAAATGATCACGTTTCCCGCTGTTTTAATTTCCGCTGAGCCCGAAGGTCGTAATTTTCTTTAAAACCTGGGCTAACATATTCTTACTTTTAGGTGTGAACGTGAACGTTTAGAATGAGAAGAGAAATCATAGCACATTGTAAATTTTTAAAGTTGCTGCTTTACATATCACAAAAAGTCAGAAAATCGTATATCATTTCTTATCACTCTAATTTTCGAATGCACTTTCATCTTCCTTGTATCTGACTCTTTTTTTCTCTTTCAGATCACGATTTTGATTTATCTGATGCCCCTCAGTGGTGAGTAACATCATTTTTTAAAATCCCATCATTATTTGATATGAACGTTGTAAATACAGGCACACCCCATACGTTCCTGGCTCAGTCCCAGACCCCCACAGTAACGGGAGTCATAGCAGTTTTTCTCTTCCCAGTTCGCATGTTGTGCTTACTCTCGACTGCACTCTATTAAGTATGCAGCAGCATTATTTCTTTTTGTTTGTTTGTTTTTTGAGACGCAGCCTTGCTCTGTCGCCAGGCTGGAGTGCAGTGGTGCTATCTGAGGCTCACTGCAACCTCCGCCTCCTGGTTTCAAGCGATTCTCCTGCCTCAGCCTCCCGGGTAACTGGGATTACAGGTGCGCCACCACGCCCCACTGATTTTTGTACTTTTAGTAGAGATGGGGTTTCACCATGTTGGCCAGGCTGGTCTCGAGCTCCTGACCTTGTTATCCACCTGCCTCAACCTCCCAAAGTGCTGTGATGACAGGCGTGAGCCTCCACACCTGGCCAGCATTACTTCTAAAGTCAGTATATTTTAATTGAAAATACCTCATTAGGCCAGGCATGGTGGCTCACACCTGTCATCCCAGCACTTTGGGAGGCTGAGGCAGAGAGTTGCTCGAACCCAGGAGACGGAGGTTGCAGTGAGCCGAGATCGTGCCACTACACTCCAGCATGGGCTACAGAGTGAGACTCTGTCTCAAAACAAAGAAAAGATAAAGAAATACCTTATTTTTAAAAACTGCAGATATAGAGACGAAGTGGGCGCCTGCCATTGGAAAAATGATGCCGAGGGTCTGGCTTGTTGCAGGGTGGCTGCAAAGCTTCCGTGTGTAAAACACACACTCTCTGTGAAGCACCATAGGACAGAGTGCGGGGAAGGAGGCCCGCCTGTGTGTGTCAACCTGCCTTAGGATAAAAGCTATCGTCTTATATGAGGAAGAAAAGCAAGACGCCCTCGTTAACATCTGTGGACCACCCTGGTGGAATAATTCACAGTCCTGAGGTGGTCAAATGCTGAGCAGACTCGCCAGTCACCTGGGGAAGGGGCTAGAGGAGGTGAGCAGGGGGAGGTCCCCAGGAGAGAGAGGGGCGACCAGTCTTGTATTCCTCTCTCTCGAAATCAGTACTTGCTCTCTTCATGGGTCTATGCCTTCCTTTTTCTTTTCTTCCTTTTTTTTTTTGCTGAGATGGAGTTTCACTCTTGTTGCCCAGGCTGGAGTGCAGTGGGGCGATCTCAGCTCACTGCAACCTCCGCCTTCCAGGTTCAGGCGATTCTCCTGCCTCAGTGCTTCCTAGTAGCTGGCATTATAGGCATGCACAACCATGCCTGGCTAATTTTATATTTTTAGTAGAGACGGTTTCTCCATGTTGGTCAGGATGGTCTCAAACTCCCGACCTCAGGTGATCCGCCCTCCTGGGCCTCCCAAAGTGCTGAGATGACAGACGTGAGCCACCGCACCCGACTCAAATTTCCTTCTTCTTAGGACAGCAGTCACTAGGACCTGTCCTAATCTCCTATGAGCATCTTAACTAACCACAACTGCAGCACCCTCTTATATGGAGCTTTAGGGTGAATGTGGATTAGGGAGGAATGAGCTTCAACCCAGGACCGCACCCTCTTTACTTTTTCACGTTTTACTTTTTTTTTCCTTTTCTTTTTTTGGGGGGACAGGGTCTCGCTGTGTTGCTCAGGTTGGAGCGCAGTGGTGGGATCTTGGCTCCCTACAGCCTCCACCATCTGTGCTCCAGCAGTCCTCCCACCTCAGCCTCCCAAAGTGCCAAGGCGTGAGAGGATGGCAGACATGAGCCAGCGTGCCTGGCCGGCTTTTTAATCTTAGATCCTGCGGTGCAATGCAGATGGTTTGAGCAGAAACCATGCTGATGGGGATCATCTTTCCTGACCGCCTACCCTTTCTTGGCCACTGGGAGCAGCTGGAGGCGCCCTTGCTCTTTTGACCTCCTCCTGACTGACTTGCATTCTCAGAGGGGACGCCTGGGCTGAGGTCTGATGGAGCCAACAGTGTGTGTCTTCTATAAGAAATGTGTTGGAAATAGATACTCGGAGCTGCAAAATAAAATCAGCACTGACACAGAGGATCTCTCAGCAATGCAGTTTTTAATTCCCGGGCTGCAGGGAGGGGACCCTCACTAGCCATCGTGCCACGAGAGTACAATGAACAAAGGAAAACACACACATTTATCCCTGACACATGTGGGGTCGTCCTTCCTGCTGTGTCTGATCTTTGTGGGCCGGAGCCAGACCTCAGCATCTAAACTAAAACCCGACTGGCTGACAACTTAAAACTTTTCTAAACAGGTGAAAGCCACGGAGAGCTGGGACACGCCTGTGAGCACATCCAGCACTGATATCTCAGTGAAAGTACAAGGACATAGAATGTACTACGTGCCTGTGAGCACGGCGTGTCTAACAGCCACATAGGATGGGGCTTCACAGAGAGTTATTAGCACACTTATTCTTTAACAAGAAAGGAAACTTTAAAAAGGAACTTTTCTGCTTCCCACAAATGTGAACAGGCTTTCCGCCGTGAATCCAGTGTCTCCTCCTTATGCGCACATCTCGGGGTCTGAAAGGGCAGTTTTTTCTGCAGAATTCTTCATTCTTCTGCCTTCCTGGCTTACGTCTCACTCACAGTCCCATTCACCGTTGAGGCTCCTGGTCTCTCTGGAAGTCATGGCCGGCGGCAGCCTCAGTGCCTGTCTTCTGGTCTCAATAGTCCTCCTGTAAACCTCAGCCCAGCGGGGGCTGGTGAGAAAAAACAACCCTAAACACATTCTCCAGCTATTTCCAAGAAAACGAAACATCCTTCCACCACAGAAGAGCTGGCGCTCGTTTTCCCAGCTGCAACTTTTACTGACCGAAATGTCTTCTCTCTTTAGACAATGAAGACAAGAAAGCCACACCTACCCCCAAGAAGCCCAGTGCTGGTAAGAAAGCTGTGCTCCTAGTGTGCAAAGAAAAAGAACAGACCGTTTTCTCTGACAGCAGGGCGGGACTTAGGCAACCAGAAAGGCATGACTGATTGGAGTGGTCCGGATGCCGCCTGGTTAAGATTGGAATTGTGTTGTGGTGGCATTTCATGCAGTGATTCCAGTAAGAGAATGGTTGCTGATGCGAAATGTTTTTGGGGTCATTTGGGCACCATCTCTGGGTGCTTTTATTCGAAGGGTGTCAGTGACTCTGTCTTTAGTTTTGTTTTTTTATTTTTAAGATGGAGTCTCACTCTTGTCTCCTAGGCCTGAGTGCAATGATGCCATCTTGGCTCACTGCAACCACCCCCTGCCCGGTTCGAGCGATTGATTCTCCTGCCTCAGCCGCTGAGTAGCTGGGACTACATACACCAGCCACCATGCCCAGCTGATCATTGTATTTTTAGTTGAGACGAGGTTTCACTATGTTAGTCAGGCTGGTCTCAAACTCCTGAGTTCAGGTGATCCAGCCACCTCAGCCTCCCAAAGTGCTGCAATTATAGGCGTGACGCACTGCACCTAGCCTCTGTCTTCAGATTCCACTTCTTGGGAGATGAAGAATTTGGTGCTGAGACCCCCACATAATGACCAAGAAGTGGACTCATCTCTCAACCTGTGGGCGCACACCTAACTTGTTCTTAAGGCTGTTCTTTCAAACTAAACTCAGAAACAAGGGACAAATGATGGAATTGCCCAAGGCTAAAGCTCATTGGTGGATAAACAGAGTAACAGTTGCCTTACGCCTGTAATTGCAGCACTTTGGGAGGCCGAGGTGGGCAGATCACGAGGTCAGGAGTTGAAGACCAGCCTGACCAACATAGTGAAACCCTGTCTGTACTAAAAATACAAAAATTAGCTGGGCATGGTGGCGCACGCCTGTGATCCCAGCTGCTCAGGAGGCTGAGGCAGGAGAATCGCTTCAACCTGGGAGGCAGAGGTTGCGGTGAGCCGAGATTGCACCACTGTACTCCAGCCTGGGCGACAGAGCGAAACTCTGTCTCAAAACAAAGAAAAAAATAAAACAGAGTAAAATGATGCCAAAACTTACGGCATCACTGTCTTGTCTTAGCACTTCTGATTTCTCATATAAAATATTAATAGTGCCACTGGATCATCGGATTTCCTGTCTAGAGTGTCAGCTCGTGAGCAAAGGGCCCCCGGGCCTCCAGATCCTTGAAGTATGCAATCATCCAGACAACACAGAATAAGGAGTTTTGAGCGTCTGAATTTGCATGATCGTGGTTTCCTTGAGGAAGGGAGCGTACATTCCCATACGTGCCTCAGCATGGCTCAGTACATGCCGTTAGGTGGATTGCCAGCAAGCATTCTCAATCTTGGTTGGGTTTTCAAAATCGTTCTTCATATGAGAACACAAGATCTGAAGCCATGGCGAATTCTCACGTCTGTTGTGGCGCCCACGTGGGTTGCTAGAGGCACATCCCAGACACCGTCTAGCCTAAATCCGATCACAGTCATGTTGTCCCCATCTCTTAGGGTGTGGGGGTCCCGCACGTCTGCCGGGGGGCTTCCGACTAGCGGAGAGCCTCAGCCCCACTCAAGTGTTCTTAACTTGGAAGACGGATGTGCGCGGAAGAAAAGATAGATTAGAGAGCGGGGTCTGGAGGACTGCCAGGCAATGCCGGAGCAAGAAGTGCCAAGACAGCAAGTTTATTTGTGCAAACTACAGGTTATATACTTTTCAGTGTTTGAGGAGTGATGTACATTCCATTGTATCTTGAAATAAAATCAAGAACAAAAATCACAAGAAAAGAGGTACAGAAAGTATGACTCTTAATCAAAGGGTGTACAGCAAAGGGACAATAAAGCTTGCAAAAAGGGGATCATAAATCTAAACATGTGTTTTTCTAAAATCAGTTAAGCAAGCAAGTAAGATTGTTAACAAGGTATAGCTGGACCTTTCCAAATGTCATTCTAACCTTGCCTATTCATATAGGATCATATGCAAACAATATGATTGAGTTAGCAGAGGTAAATGAAGTCATACAGTTATTGTGCAGAGAAGGAACTAGGAGGTACACAATGTCTACCCATACAATGTCTCATTAGACCATAAGGCCTGAGTTCAGCCGTTCTGTTGCTAATGTCAGAGGCAAAGATTGATGTTTATAAAATCAGTGCAACTAGACTTCCTCCTTTCCCTTAGCTCAACAGCCTCCAGGAGAGGAGAAACGTGTATGGGCTCAAGCTCAAGATGGTGAGGGTCCTGTCAAGGGCCCTTCGCAGGAGCGATCCCCACATTTCCTCCATTTTTAGATTTTAAATGCAACTCAAAAAGTTTAAGCTGCATCTTCTGGAGGGAGGAGAACACAAGGCGAAAGATGAAAGGTAGGCACACGATTAGTAAAAGAACACAGCTACCAACTGCAATGATGGAAGAAAATGATGGCAGGTGGAAGCCCTGGGTCTAAGAAGACAGGGTGTTAACAATGTCACGAGCAATTGTGGCATCCTCAGGAAGTTCTCTGTGGGAAAAGTCAATAGCATGAATTTCTTGCTGCAATTTAAGAATATCTAATGACATATTATTATGACTCCATATACCTTGCAAGTGAGCCTTAACTAAGGGCCATTTCCAATGAGTATCATTATAGGGAGTATTAGTAACACAAATACATTTAAAATCTACATGACAATGAAGGGTAAGACGATTTTGAATATTATGCACTTTATCTCTATTATGTCAACAGTTTCTTCTAAAGCATTAAGTTTAACCTCAATTTTCTTTTCAATGTCTATTTGAGTTCGCATAGTAACTGAAATATTTTTGCCAAATAATTAACATAAGAAGCAGTTTGAACACTACGAGCAAGACTAACAGCCACGGTGGTAGCAGTAGCCACAACAGAAACAATAGCTATAATACTAGCAATGAGAATACTAATAAATCGTTTGGGTCTTAACAGAAATTCATGAACTTCATGAAAAATTTGTAAGACTTTTTCATCATACCAATCACCAGAAATGTTGACAGGAAGCAAAACATAAGGAGGTTGATGGACAATCAATATTGTAGAAGTAGGAAACATAGAGGAGTCCATACAATTGGTGAGGGCACAATTAATGCAAGAAATTGAATAATGTCCATTGCTTTCAGAAAAAGAAACATTACCAAGTAAAATAGCGCAGGGGGATGCAACACAAGATTGAATGTATACATGACCTTTAGCTGGATAGGCACGGCTACGAGAGCCAGCAAAATAATAAACTGGGGTATACAGACAAAAACAATTTCTAAAGAGAGGTGTAAATTGTGCCCTTATTAGTGGTAAAAATAGGAGTGCTCCACCCACTGGGCATTTCATAACGAGTTAGATCTTCACTTAAAGGGTTAGGGATGGACCAGTCATACAAAGTAAAACCAGAAGGCAGAGTATAATTCAGAGCTTGTTTTTGATTAGGATAACAAAATTGCCATGGGGGAGAAGGATTAAAGGGAGTGTTGCCAGAGTGACAAGGTTGTAGTTCCATGAAAGGAAAATTAGGAGAACAAATGTTAGGAGATTCCCGAATACTAGGATAAAATAATGTCTAATCTCTTTCAGGAATAGACTCAGCAGGGAAGAGAGTGGAAGGGCTATTGTATGTTTGTAATTGTTTAACTCTTAGAGGAAAACAAAAGTCTCTAGGAATAGGCGGAGGAGGGGAAGGTTGTAAAGAGACATAATCACTGTAAGAAAATTTATCATATATGAAAGAAGCATAAAAACACAGGAGGAGCAATGGCCTGAGCTATATATGTATAATTGGCAATTTGAGGAGTAATATGAGAGGGAAGAAGGAAAGCCAAGCATAGAGGTATCATTAATGTAAACAGGAAAGCAGGATCATCCCAAGTAACAGGTCTTAAGACAGGTGGATCAGGAACATAAGCCCACAGAGTTTGATGGGTAGAGGGGGGAGAATGAGGCACAGGAAAGGCAGTAGCTTGTTCACAAGCCAAAATAGTAAGCATAGCAAGAAACAAAGTAACAGGATTTCTAGAATGTCCTTGTTGCTGAACAAGATTAGAGGCTTCAGCACTAAGACGGCGAAGTTGATTCCAGGAAGGTAGAAATACATCATGATATGATGAATTACGTCTGTTGTTCTGTCGGGACCGGTGTCTGCGACGAGCAGAAGTCGTCACTCGCAGTTGATGAAATCTCGGGATCAAGGAGTTCGGACTTCGTTTGTTGTTTATGTTCATGCTTCACAAGGCGTCAGGAACCCAAATAGGTGAATCAGCAGACCTAGGAAAAACACAAACGTGTCCTCGTCCCCATATAAGGACTGGATCTGGGCCATGCCACTGATTAGAAAGGGCGTCTTTCCAGATAACTTCGGGGCGAGCCTTATGATCAGGATGCTAAAAGCGATCAGCAGCAGAACAGTTGTTGTCATCTAAAGTGAGAAAGTTTAGTACATAGAGTGCATGACGAAGCCAGTCATGTGGAGACTTGGAAAAAGACACAGTATTAGAATCATGTTTCAGTTTAGATAGCAGATTTTTGAGAACAGCATGAGAACGTTCAACAATGCCTTGGCCTTGAGCGTTGTAAGGAATACCTGTACGATGGGAGATTTGAAATTGTGAACAAAATGACTGAAAACTTTTACTAGTGTATGCAGGACCATTGTCAGTTTTTAAAATCTTAGGAGGTCCAATAATAGAGAAGACCAAGAGGCAATGAGAAATAACATCCTTAACTGCTTCTCCGGTGTGGGCCGAAGCTACAAGAAAGTGGGAAAAGGTATCAATGGTAACATGACGAAATTTAAGCTTGCCAAAAGGAATAAAATGTGTAACATCCATCTGGTAAACATGAGCAGGTTGCAAACTGCGCGGGTTAACTCCAAGATGAATGGTCTGTGGGAGAAAAGAAACACAGGCAGGGCATTGTTTAACTATTTGTTTTGCCTGTTCCCTGGTAATGTGAAACTGTAGTCAGAGGCTCCTT